CTATGCTTCCTCGACCTAGTCTGGCACCTGTCGTCGACTTTGTACATGTGTTTGAATCCTTTCGAATTGACGCTACTTCTTACTTCGAAGCCCTATGCTCTCAGGAGTCTCATTCTACTGAGTCTTTTAGTAGTTGAAGTCAACAACGCAGCGTCCTGCAACCTTCCCACTCTTCAATTTCTCGACCGCTTCCGGAAGTCTGTCAATAGAAAATCTTTCGTAGATTGGTTTGAGGAGCCCCTGGGAGATGTTGTCAGTTACTTAGCATATACAAGGACTTCTGCCTCTGCACTTCAGCGGATGTAGCTACTCACCCGTTTGGCGAAGTCCAGAGCGCAATTGGTATCGTTCATAGATCCCACCATTGTCCCCTTGATCTCGAAGTTCCTAGCTGCGAAGAAAAAGGGGTCCGCGCCGAGTGTGACTGTATTCGCTGGTGGCAGCCCAATGCACATTACTTTGGCACCAACGCGCGTGCCGACCAGACTGATCGAGGTTGGATATGCTTGAGGCGCTGTGACAAATACTGCATGTGGACCGATACCATCGGCAATGCGGACAACGTCTGCGACAATGTCGGTTGAGGTCCGAAAGTTAATGAATGCTTCAGCACCCATTTCCAAGCTCAAGGCTCGTTTCTCAGCTCCGGAGTCGATCACAATTGGTCGAAGACCCATAGCTTTGGCAAGTTGTACCCCTGTTCCTCTCAGTTATCAAGGGCGTTGAGCATGCGCCATTCCAGTTTACCTTGGATACCAACTCCTCCTCCACCTCCAGGGAAGCATGCCCAATTTCCCGCCTTCAGCTCAGCTTCGACTAGAGATCGATAAACGGTGGAGGCCGAGCACATGACTGGTCCTGCGATGTAGTCATCAACACCATCCGGGATGCGGGTTGTATATTTAGCTGGAGAGACAATGTATTGTTGGTAGGTACCAGTCTGGTTATTTCTCGTCTCAGAGCCGTTGATTATGACTTCGAGCAGCTTCGCTTACCTTGGCAAGGCCGGTATAGATTGCATTGGCGCAATAGTTTTCCTTTCCAGAATAGCAAAGATCACAATTGCCACAGACATCCCAAAGCGGCTTCACACCACCACGATCACCAACCTTCCACCCTTTGACGTTTTCTCCGAGTTTCACAACCACTCCTGCACCTTCGTGTCCAGGAGAACGCACCCCAAACTCGGACATTTTAGGCATAGACCAGTCATGCATAGCATAGTGCAGGTCAGTGAAGCATAGCCCGGTAACATTTAGCCTCAAGAGGAGCTCGTCAGGACCTATACAGAGTTATTTGGTCACCCTCGCATGGAGATATCCAGTTGTTTTGGCTTACCTGGCTCTGGTACAGGGACCAGTTCTACTTTGATTTGGAAATCTGGACCTTCGTTGACGACTACCCCTGCCTTACACACCTTGGGGATATCAAACTCGGTACTCATCCTTGATGTTGAAGGGACACCTCAGAGTTGGCGAGGACTTGAAAATGCTTGAAAATGGGTTGAATGCTCTTCTTTTCAGATTGCACCTTCTATTTTCCTAGAGTCTCAAAATGACTTCTGTGGTTGTAACTTCTGTGACAGCGGCCTGTGCTATATTTAAAGGAAGACGTAGAGACTAATGATAGTACATTGTGATGCATTTCTGCTCCAAGCTCCGGGTGTTAGTTCATCGTAACTATCCTGTCATATGGTCCGGCACTGTATCACCTGATTGATCTTGCTGCGGTTGTCGTGGCATCCTTTCTCAGCCGAACTTCCCATCATGGGATTTTTCCTGCGGTAGCGGGTTCTCATGAGCTGAGTTGAAGGCGGGTCCTCTATCTGGTGCTGTCTGGACCTGGACGTCAGATTTCTCATCGCCGTCATCCCGTTCACGCCTTTGGGGCAAATGTAATGCCCAATGATGGTAACCCAAGGGCTGTTGGTGTCCTTCAGAATGCAGGTGGAGAGTATAGATTCATTTCTCATTGGTCATGGTCATGGTACCAGTGGCATTTCACCATGAGTACCGCGTATTGAATACACATTGTGGAGACTGACTACACAAGCTGTATTTATGAAGTGGAGAGCTGCCATTGATCCACTTCCAGGTGGGGATTCTATCCCTGATGTAGTAATTTGTCAACCTCGACCGATTGGCTAAGCGTCCACTACAAGATCCATAATACTCGAACGACGGCACAGTGGTCACGATCAATGCATTTTCCACCACCGAGGTTCATAGGACGATATGTGTATATAGTATGCTCAGAGTATCATCTCATGAGAACAAAGCCTCTCCGTCATCCCGTAGTTGTTACGGAACTGGTTTCTGCAAGCAGCAAGTATCTTCCCAGATTTGTGGTCCTTGTCAAATCTTCCTTTTTGTTCGCCCTCAGATTCAAGCCGCAATATGGGCGAGCGTACCCCTCCAATTTCGCCGAGCCAGCTCTCGGGTGAGCAAGATGCACTTTACGAAGACATCAGATCTGTGATTTCGTCCCATCTTCCTGGGTTTCAAACTGAGACAGAGCAAGGAGCATTGATCGGTCCCTGGAGCGTCTGGCTGCAAGAACCTGATCTTGGAGCCGTCGTGTGGAATCTGGTCAAGATGATCACAACCAACGCCAAACTCCCCGAGAGTGCTCGTCAAGTTGCGATCCTGAAAGTAGGGTCCCATTTCAAAGCTGCATACGAGTTGTATGCCCATTCTGGCGTCTCTAGTTGTCTCGGTATTGAAAAGGATCAAGTCGAATCACTTGCCTCGGGCAATCGACCTGCAGATCTCGGAGCTCCTGAAGCGGTAGCATATGATGTAGCTGCATCACTTCTGGCTGGCGGTGTCCTTCCGGACGACATCTACTCCATGTCGGTCAAGATCCTCGGTCAACAAGGAACTTTCGAACTCGTCCACCTCATTGGAGTCTACTGCCTTGTCTCTATGACACTGAATGGCTATGACGTGAGAGCTCCGGTGCCAGTTTCAGTGCAAGGAAGCCCAAAACCAAGTCGAGAGAGCGAATACAGGTCTATCAATGCCGTGACAGGAGAATTGGAGAAGGTCTTCCCGGAAACCACTGATGAAGAAGTTCGGGTAGCACTAGACAAGGCACACTATGTCTATGAAACCGACTGGTGCCGTCGCTCTGCGGGAGAGAGGGCACGAATCATTGGGAGAGCTGCTCAGATTCTTCGACAAAAGGCTGAAGAGTATTCCCGGCTGATCACATATGAGATGGGCAAGCTTATCGACCAGTCACGATACGAAGTGAATCTCACAATTGACATCCTGGAGTATTATGCCACCCATGGGGAGACATTCCTCAAACCAAAGCCTATTGATGAAGCGCCAGGAGCAGTCATGGTTACTGAGCCCATTGGGGTCCTCCTGGCTGTTGAACCATGGAACTTCCCGTACTACCAGCTAGTGCGTGTCGCTGCACCGCAGGTCGTGGCTGGAAATGTGCTGATTGTCAAGCATGCACCCAGCGTGCCTCAGTGTGCGCTTGCATTCGCTCGTCTTTTTGCGGAAGCCGGAGCTCCTGAAGGAGTTTACACCAACCTCTTCTGTACTGTCCCTCAGGTAAATTCTCTCATCGATGATTTCCGCATCAGGGGAGTTACATTGACAGGCAGTGAGAGAGCTGGTGCGTCAGTTGCTGAGCGAGCAGGCCGCAATTTGAAAAAGGTCGTTCTGGAGCTTGGAGGAAGCGACCCTCTGATAGTACTACCAGATGCCGACCTCGAAAGTACTATTAAACAAGGTGTGGCTGGACGTATGATCTGTATGGGTCAGGCATGTGTTTCGTCCAAACGATTCATTGTGGTCGGGCGTGATCGTGGTAAAGTATTCCTCGATGGCATGGTTAAGCGATTCAAGGAGCTTGAGGCTGGTGATCCAGCGGATAGCGACACTTCACTGGGACCCCTATTTGCAGAACGAGCTCTCCAGGGTCTGTTGGACCAGATTGAAAAGGCCAAGGCCCATGGAGCTCGAATTGCTACAGGAGGGAGGAGGATCAATCGCCCTGGGTATTACCTTGAACCAACAATCATCACTGATATCTCCCCCAAGAATCCATTGTTTCAGGAGGAGACATTTGGTCCTGTGGCATCATTCTACGTGACTGAAACTGAGGAGGAGGCAATCAAGCTCGCCAACTCTACAAAATTCGGACTCGGCGCCAGTGTTTTCGGTGAGACCAAACATGCTCAGGAAGTCGCCTCCAAGATCGAGTCAGGCATGGTGTTTGTCAATTCCTGTGCATATACAGGTCCTGAGGTCCCATTTGGAGGTATCAAGAACTCTGGGTTCGGGCGAGAGCTTTCAGAATTGGGCATTGGGGAGTTTGTCAATCGCAAGCTCATTCGGACAGCCCTTTGAACTTTCTGGTCAGAGGTGCCTCGTCTGGAGCACAACGAGAAGCTGGTTTCATGTTTCATGATTCCCTTATGCATTGGTTGAATGTCAGTCACGATGTCGACTAGTAGATCATCAGAATCTTTGAAAGAGACTCATCCAAAACTATTTGGAAGATGCAGAGACTCATCTATCACACACGTGTTCTTGATATCATCTGTTCCTGTGACCAGTTCCTAGTCCGAGGCAAGATATCCCGTTGTCGAAAACCATCTCCATAGTAATCATGCACCTGACTGGCATCATGCTGATCTTGCGTCAATCATTGGCCTGACGATCTTGCGGACTGCGGCCATGGAGGTTGTATCGGAAAAGTAGCCAAATCCACGGCTGAACCTTTCCACTAGAATCAGTGGCGAATTTGCCAATCTATTCTCAGACGTGAAGTAGCCACTAGACAGCCACATACCACTGGAAAGGTTAATAATACCCTTCCAGCGTAGAACGGGACTGAAAGCTTGGAAACACAGTACTCCCGGTGCAACAGAGGCGGACTGTAGCAGATGCGCCCAAACCTGTGATCTCTGCCCCGCGCAGATAGATTCTTGCGCACAGCAGCAAGTTGATCGAAAAGAACATTTCGAACGGCCATATCAGTTACTTTGGTTGAATATCTCGCTCCCACTCTATCAGTGAATGGTTGGTTGCAATGAATCTCTTCAGAATCGTTTTCAAGTGATCCCAGTGGCACATCTCCGGATATCTGTGTTTCATCTTCTCAACGAGATCAACTCCCCTGGGTTCCAGAACTGCAACGTTCTTCCATGTCTCCATTACAAGCATTGATGTGAAGAGTAGAAGTTCCCGTTTTGCGACGGTATCGGGAACATATGATAGTAATAGAGTTGTAGCTTCTTCTCGACAGCACCGGAAAAACGATGAAGTCTGGCACAAAGGCTTGTAGTACATGGTTGCCATCGACATGTAGTACGCCAAGCAGAAACATCGTTCGAGTGGCGCGACAGATGTGTCCAACCGCTGCAGAATCAGTCGAATTCGACCGATTTCAGTATCAAGGCTCCGCCGCGACGATTGAAGTGGCTGGTTCTTCATAAGACTGGTTATCCACGATGCTGTCCACACTAACGACTTTGCAAGTTCGATAGAAAGACCTCGACCTTCTGAAGCGATGGCTCGAAAGCCTTCTGGAAGCATGGCGATAACTTCGGATATACCTAGAGGAAATGGGGTGGACGAATAATGCAATTCAAGTGTTTTAGAGGACATCGTGTGCCATGCACCGAATGGCATTGGTTCGCCCATCAGGTCAAGTAGCAGATCATGTCTGACAAGTCAGACGGTGTCATCGGTTAGTGGCCTGAATGCGGACTTACTTATCTTTGACAAGCTTGAGGTATTGGTTTGATTGGTGCCGGACATCTTTGCCTTGTAGGACTGCTTCAAGTCCCTTTCGATGTATCGTGAGTGCTTTGATGTCACCCATCAATGCCTGGTACAAGATTAGAGAGCTTTCACGACTATGTATCGAAAGGCACACATCGGTCTGCAAGAGACATATCACCATGAGCACCACATCATCCCGCACATTCTCATGGGTCATTCTTTGTCTGAGTCTCGAGATCGCTTGTAGGCGGTAATACCGAGCGCTATCCAGCAAGTATTGGCTGGGAAACTGCGTCCAAAACCATGTGAGACTCATGGATATAATTGCAGGATAAACCTCCTTAACATCGATATTTGCTAGAACCCCTGCTGCATGGGGTGTGGCGCCATCTAGCATCACTTCTACTGGACAGGTGAACAGTGGATAGACTTGTAGAACTGGTAACTCATCGTCAGTCCGATAGCCTTGGGTCCTCAATGGAATTGTCGAACTTACACTGGAACAAATGAATGCTGCTCGATATCTGACCAGGGATCTTGTGGGGGATTCTGGCGACAAAGTCATTGTGGGCATCTCTTGACTGAATAGCTCGTGAGCTTCTTGACCGGATTTCCTTCATCTGCCGTGATGTATTTGTCCAAAAAGCTGAGTTGTGGAGGGGGATTTGTCGCTCGATTGTCAGTGGTTGTGTCTTCCTGCGCCATAGTCGAGACACATGCGACGAGACCAAGTGGCGAGCTCTCGTACTCTTCATCTCATCGGGAGTTCCAAATGTAACAAAGTTGAACTGTTTCGCTTCCCCCTTTTCACCCATAGTGTCGTGGATTGCGAGGATGTTGACTGTCCAAGTCACCGAAAGATAGTCTCTGCTGGTGCTTTAGCTGGCCTGAAATCTCGGCTGGTATATCTAATCTCCATAGAGCATGTGCGGAGTACTTGCCTGTCGTTCGCCTGTACATAGTAGGAGTCGAAGACTGTTCTCGTTCTCTTATATTGCAACGGGACTTTGATGTGAAGCACGTAATGCTAATCATATACTGTCACGAGAATAACCCAACGAAGGGATATGCAACGATTCAAAAGGGCCTCGAGAGTGACCCGCCGCTGCTTGCACGTTAGCCCAGTGCGTACAGAGTACAAAGCACTCAATAAGATTACAAGCGCGGTACTAGCGCGACTGTGTCATTACAAGAGAGAGAAAAGTCGTTACCGTACTCTGTCCCTTGTGCTTCAGGCCATTTCCTGATCCGCCCGCAAAGTCTCCTGCCGCCAACGACGGTAGTATCATCTCTGTGATTTAGGGGATGGTGTCCCTTCAGCTCTCAGGAAGTGTGCCCAAATACATTAGTCCCCACGTCAGATCAGCAGCACATTGGATGAGACCGAAAAATAGGAGCATGTTCGTCATACCTTGACCTTGCGTTGTACTGGGCTCTCGCAGAAAATAGAGTTGTTTGATTGAGTGCACGCAGCTTGTGCGAAATCCTGACCAACCATTGTTCTCCCGGCAGAGCAAATACCCTCGAATGAGACGCGAGTGTCTGGACAAATCCTTGCACAGAGGAAAGACGGCATGGAGTGGCGCCCATAGGATAATGTGAGCGATTACCTGAACCCCCGGGCGGACCGATGATGCGGTCACTTATCTATGATGCTTGAATACTTCAACAGATCTTAGTGAAGGTCAATTCGTGCTGGCAATGCCACGATAAACATCGTTCTGGCCGGTCTCGGCTCCCTTAGCAAGCACACCCTGCATTTCGGTTTCTTTCTTTATATTCATCCCAAGAGTACTTTCGCGGGATATAGCGGTGCCAGTGACCGGAATTTGGGACAGCTCCTTCTGACTGATGTAGGACTCTGGGATAGAAGATCATGGGTGTTAATTTTCAGGATATCCATAATATTTCTTGCTTCCGGTATTGCATGTTTCCGGAGGAGATCGAGCTTGGCTTCCGACTTGAAGACTTGGAGATTCCTGAATTTGATTCAACGCTGCCTCCCCAAAGCCTCGTCAGCACAACAGCTATCCTCAGAATGTCATCAAATGTGTCGCATTGCAGGGGCTGTCACAGTCATTGTCCGAGCTTTGGCACCTCCGCCACGCGCCTACCTCGTCGATGGAAACTGAATGCAGCAGACTATCCCTTGAAAAATAAATCACCGCAGCAATTTGGTGGCTGGAATGTCTGGGCATATCACCTCCTGCAACGGAGCAATGTTGGAGTATGGAGCGTGGTGCCTCTGAATAACATACTCCCCGCCGTTTGGCACGCCGATTCTCAAGCTAGCCATAACTAGATTAGGCATTCAACCAATATTTAGAGCGGCGGATATTCTTTGGCTCCTTTGGGCATTCAGCCTGGCCGCGGAGGCTAAGGGGTACGCTACAATAAAAAGCAGTAGCACCGACGTTTCCAGTTTCACCTATTCCATCATCGAGCGGGGGTTTCCAAATATACAGCCCAACCTCAACTTCGAGCCATGGACTCCCAGGGCTCGAGGCCAAGAAGGATTCGTCACCGCCGCAACAACTGCGATTCGGAACATACGCACGGACAGTGTCCGCATTGGCGATGACGTCCACCATCTCACCAGGGACTCTTTAAAGTGATGGCAAGGACGCCGAGTATCGCAGCCATAGACAACTGCTTCCACAAACCCATCCTGTAGCAGAGTCTTGCAGCAGGGCCGAATCTCCTGACAACAGTCGCCTCTGCACCTCGTTCAAGATGCGTTTCCACGCACTGCTCCCTGTGCTCTTTGCCATCACACCTACTCTAGCCATTCCTCCCCCGGACTTTGGGTTTCCAGAAGCACCAAATGACACAGCCCTTGCGGTCACCTACCAGAACAGTGGGAACACCATTCTTGTGACAGAAGCGGAACTGTTTGGGGTTGATAGTGAGTATTTGCTTGTCCTTTGTGCTATGGCAAAGCTGATCGGGCGCAGTCCCCTCCCAACAACCCACGGTGGCTCTTGAGACGTCCAAGTTCCAGTCTCTTTCCAGCTATAATGGATCTTACGTCCTTCTCATGGTTGATCCTGACGCAAGATATCCTCAGAATCCAACGTCCCGATTCATTTTGCACTGGCTGCAGACCGATATGACAGCGGCACCGCTGGCAGCTGATGGAACCAGCCAACTCATCAATTCGACCCTGCCGCGAGCACCCTACCGAAACCCATCTCCTCCGACGAACTCCTCTGCCCACCGCTATATCCTGTATACCTTCTTTCAGCATGAAAACTTCACGTTCCCACCTGCATTCGAGGGATATAACGCTACAAATAGGACCAATTTCAACTTGACATTGTTCCTGGACGAGTCGAATTTGGGTCGAACACCGGCTGCTGCCATGTATTTCTTCGTCAGTAATGAGACTCAGGTTCCTCCAGATTTCACTGCTGCTGCAGGCGCCACATATCCTGGCGGAAATGGCGACATGATAACAGCTGGTCCGGGTCCAACCATTACACCTTCCTCGACGCCTGCCAGCGCTTCGGCCTCCACTTCCGCAACAGGCTCCGGTAGCTCTGAATCGGGTGCCAGGTCCGAAACAGCTTCTGCCACAGGGTCTGTCGCCTCAGCGTCCCCCACAAGTGGTGCGGCCGTTCACCAAACAGCTATCCCCGGCGTCCTTTTATTAGCATGTCTTATGGCTCTATTGAGCATGACTTGAAGGGCGCACGCTACCATGACATTTAAATGAAAACCCAAGCACATAGGGAATTGCGTTTGTTCCAGCCTTATCACGAAATTCTACTATCCTTGAACGTTGACCGATCCACGTTCCTGCTATGTTTAGAACTGAAATACTACATGAATGGCTCTCAATTTCCACGTTCATTACCTATTCTAATCACCACTCTTTGATTTCTTTAACCAAATCTTTCAAGCTCCTGCTTTCATGATGACTTAATGCTCAGCCTGGCACCGTTGAACCTATCATTGGAACCGGGAAAGTGGGACACATCCTCATTAAGGCACGTCCCCTTTGATGCTCTACACCTCGGCTGAGCATAAAACGCAGTTGATGCTTCAGTAGAAGCAAACTACTGGACTACAGTGGTGAGACTGCATCTGCGAAACGACTGGTAAGGTCAGTCACCTGGACCACGCCCAGAAAGTTGCTTGCAACTCCTGGCGCCCAGCAGTTCTTGGCATCAACCAATCACGACATCGTGGATGAGGAATGATTGCCTCGTGCCCTTGTGCCGCCCACATTCGAGCTGCCAGTCCTTTCAAGGCTTAGCGATACGAAGCTTCTGCCAACTGAGGTCCCTATCCTCGCCAGCGGCCATGCAGCCTCAGTACACGTTAGATCCCAACCTGCTTCTGCAGGCGTCCATGAACTATTCACGCGCATTGCGAGATGATCTAGAATTACCCCTTGAAAGGCAACGCGCTCTTGGGGCCAAAGATATCCCTACCAATGGCCACTTTGACCGGTTTGCTCATCTGTGATATCGGCCGGTCCACAACATGGCTGTTACACAGAACCTCAGCTGCCAAATCAGCTGAAGCCAGCTCTCAGGCGCCCTCTGGAGGAGGATGTGGCTGGCGAATACGAGTAACACTTCAGCTCACCAGACATTAGAAGACCGCAATCAAGTATATGTAGGCTCACACTGCCCAGGATTTCGGGATTCAATCATGACTATCACCCAGCAGTCTTGTGTTCATAATGGCTTCTGCGATTGAGGAACAGCATATCTTCACTGATGCCATCGCATTCCAACCCCAAGTGGTCCAGTCAAGCGTCCGAGGCTTAGTGACACCCACGGCCATTACTACAACAGCCAACCCGCTAACTCTCGATCAAGTGCACAAGGTCATTGGACTGTATGGCCCTATCCTCAATCTTCATCCAGAGGAGAAGTATTCCAATACGTCTGTCGAAAATTTCTTGAGCCACTGTACGCTCGTCGACAAAAAGACAAAGGCACGATTGCCGTCACCAAAAGTCGGCCAGCTCCCTCAGAAGGGTGATGACAACCAATTCTATCTCGAACTTTCAGCAGATGGCAAGAAAGGGGACTTTCCAACCGCGAAAGCATATGTGCGCGCCTTTTGGCAATCCGGCATGCCTTACACGGATTTGCAATTCTGGTTCTTCAACGCCTATAATGGACCGGGAACTCTTCATATTGACGGGCTCGTGATGGATAGCATCACAAGCTCGGGTGACATTAACGTCAGTCCTCTCGGTGAGCATGTGGGAGACTGGGAGATGTGCATGGTACGCGTCGACAATTCGACGCTGAAGATCATCAGTATCTGGCTTTCCCAACATTCCAAGGGTCAATTCTTCACGGGCGACCAGCTTGACCGAGCTTTCAAATTCCAAGGAACTCAACCGATTATCTTCTCGTCCCGCAATGGCCATGCCAACTTTGCCCGCGCAGGGTCTAATCCGACCGAGTCCAAGAAGATTGGGGGCATACCAGCCGGATTCGACTTTTTCGTTCGCAACGACACGGCCATCAGTGAGCGCAAGATGGACTGCTCCAAGAAGTATGACCTCGTTTCAGCGGACTGGCTGGGGGTGAAATCTCCCGCTTGGGTGACATACCCATTTCGCTGGGGACCAGAGGGAACTTCGACTCGTCTCAGCGCGGGGGCGGTGGCTGATATCGTCAAGGCGGCTGCCGGGGATGAGCTGTCAAAATTTCTCCCCGTTGCTGCCGGGACAGTTCTGGCTGGAGAGATTCTTCCGCATTTTGTGAAGGGCGACATCAATGGTCCTACTGCGCCGAGTCGGCACGGGAGTTGGATGGGTATCTATCCTGTCTACTAGGTTTTCAGTGGGATTTCGTACTTTAACGCAAATGAGAAATGTATCAGGACCATGCGCCCTTTACGTTTGTGAACGCTTCGTAGCATAACTCGCTCTTTTTTGGTGCAGAATCGTTTGTGTCTCTACCTGAACACTGTTGTCAACGGGGGATAGGCGACATCGTGATTGACAAGACCCATCCTATCAAGCCCTTGAGCCGCCTCATAAAGAGTTTACGGCTTCCAGCGGAATGCTGATTGTTGCCAGTCCAGATCCTGCAATTCTTTGATAGACAGCTCGCTGGCATCTGAGGTTTTTTGGGTAGACCGTTTGATGTTGTCGCGTTGCATCCATATCAGCAGCAGAACAGAGAGCACTAGACAGCTCGAGATGGCGGCGAGGTTCAGCCCATTTCCGATGGGATAATTGGGGCCATCGAAAGGAAGGTAGGACCACGTGGAAATCAATCCTCCGATATTCCCTAGCAAGACGTTGGTCCCGATCGCAGCAGACCTCGAGGTATCCGAGATGACATTCGCCGATATCAAAGCGTTGCTCAAGGCGCCGAACACAAATGCAGAGCTTGCCACCAGGAAGGTTGCACCGTAGCGAGCATTTGCATTCTGTGTGCCGAGGAATATGGCAAATCCGCAAATAGTGAATGGAAGAGCGACAATATAGTAAACAAGGTAGCGGCCAGTCTTCCAGCTCAGATATGGCAGGATGAGGACGAAGGACGCACCCACGATATAGGGTGGTACCGTGTGCAGCTGCTGTGATACCACGCTGTGGTGAGGATAGATGCTTTTGACAATAGTCGGTGCAAAGAAGGCCAGACCCTGGGCGGTGATATTTCCGAGGCCGAAGATGACTGCGGTCGTCAACGTCACAGGGTTGAGAATCCCTCTGAGCAGTTTACCCTTGTTGAATCCGTCGAGCACTGATGTGCTTGACGGCCGCTCCGACTTCACTCTTGCTATGGCAAGGTCCTTCTCCTCAACTGTAAGCCATCTTGCCGTCTCAGGTCGATCGGTCAGCGTAAAAAAGGACAGTAGACCTAGGCCGCAGGTAATGGTTCCCTCGAGGACAAAGATCATCCTCCAGGTCCGTAGTGAGCCGATGTGGTCGAGGGTCAAGATTGCCGATGCGAGTAGACCTCCAAAGGCCCCCGCAAGAGGTGTCATTACGATGTACAGCGAAAGGCGAAAGACAAGCTCCCTCCGCCGATACCACCTGGAAAGATAGTATGCGATTCCGGGAAGCATTCCAGCTTCACAGACCCCAAGCAGGAACCGGACAGCCGACACGCTCTTGATGTTGGTGCAGAAGCCAGTGAGGAGCGAGAAGACGCCGAACCCAAAAGTTGTTGTTGGAAGAAACCACCCCGGGCCAAAAAACTTGCATGCGAAGCTTGCGGGCATTTCGAAAACCACATAACCAACATAGAAAACCGTCAGCACTTTATTATAATCGTAGCCGTGCAGACCAAGGTCCTCCTCGAACCCGGCGAGTCTCGCGTTGCCTTATCGACGTTAATTTCGATAGTTCAAAGAGGGATTGCAGTGCTCACCAATATTGGCCCGGTCGATAAAGCAGCAAAGGTATAGAATGGCGACTGTAGGGACCACGTAAAAGTCAATCTTTGTCCTGAGTCTGGCTTCGGCCTTCCCGTCTAAGACAACCAACGGATTGCCATATCTTCACAGGTCAGTCAATGTAATGTGCTCGGGCTGTAAATGGATATGCTTGCCTGTCTGTGGCCGTGTGGCCCTTTTCTGCTATCTCGTGCACAGTTCCGCGCCTCAAGCCTCTGTTACCATCATCCTGACGGTCTTGGACCGGATAGAAGATATCGGATTGGACTTCAACCTCTGGTGTCTTTTCCACGTCGAAGGACGCCATGTTGAGTGCAGAATTGGAAGCGATGTACGAGGCGGTGGTTGAACTGACAGATCCATTGCTGGCAAGGAGGTTGGCAGCAATTTATGAGAAAGTCGGTTCCCAGCGAATTGATCGTGTCCATGATACATTCCGGCACCGAGTGACACGTGTTTACAAGTCAAACCATATGTACGTTGATGGCGTCGAGGTTTGACAGTATCGATGACAAAAGGACCTTGAGTGGTCGAAATCAAGCGGTCAAGGTGCGTCGGAATTCGCGAGCTGAGCTGCAGCCGATGTCAAAGCTGCCCATTCACAACAAGTTGCTGTGTTCTTGACTGTCTCCGCATTCTGCTAAGTACCGACGCCAGCTGGCTAGTTACTGAGTAGTGGAACGGGTTTGACCGCCCGAGGCATGGCTTGACCCTTTGATTTAGGTCAACGGTCAACCTTCCACCAGGGCCGATTAGCGACGCGACCCGCTTCGCCTCCAGAAACAGACATCCGATAATGTCTTTCTGGGAATAGCAAGTGCCTCGCATCCTTTGGAATAAACTATCTGGCTCAATATGGTAGGGATATTCCTGACTTTACGTCAAGCTGAAGGCTTCTCCGACAGAAGCGGCTCAGCCGCAGCCCGTGCCAGCGAATATGCATTCAATCATAGCTTAACACGATGTGAAGGGATCAACAAGTTCTGAAATGGCTACCTGACTATTGAGTCAAACGAAACCTAGACTCGGGGAAGGGGCTTTTTGTGTTCAGTCGATGGTGGAAAGATGCGTCCAGTAACTCACCATGCTGCTCGAGGAGGCCGACGTCGTCGAACATATATTGTCCAAGAACCCCTTTGAGAGGAACAAAATGCTTACCTCTCAACATCTACTAGATATTTCTTACCCTAGGCCCCAGCAAATCCTCTCTTCAAACATGGTTGTCGGCAACGATGAATATTCCATCTGGAGAACAGCACCTGATGCCCTCCGACTGTGCTACCAACACTTCCTCTGGCACGAAGTCAACAAGAGCAACATCCATCCCTCGATCGACCTGAGTGACAAGCCGGATCTACGCATTGCTGAGCTTGCTGCTGGTCACTGTCTGTGGGCTATGCAGGTTGCAGAAGAATACCCTCATGCTCAGGTAGAGGCTTCAGACATCAGCTTGGGCCTCGTACCTCCAAAGCCTGACCTACCGCCAAATCTGTCGGTGACCAAATGGAGTTTCTTCGACCCGGTTCCTGAGCACTGGAAAGGCGCATTCGATCTTGTCCATATCAGACTAGTCATCCAGGTTTTCGGGGGGAACCAGGATCCTCGAGCCGTGTTGGAGAAGTTTGTGTCAATGCTGAGTATGGGGTTTTTTCCACCTGAATAATGTGTGAAACGTACTGAACGGACGATCTTAGAACCGGGAGGCTATCTCCAGTGGGACGAGTATGACTACTTTGACGCAGACAAGAACAATGTCTACTCGGCCAACGATCCCACCCGCATTCCCAACCCAGAGGTCACACACAACTCCTCGACCCAGCTTTGGAAGATCATGATGAATACATTCCAGTGGCCAACGGAGCACTTTGATCGGTTACCAAGATATTACGCCGATGCAGGATTGAAGAATGTGGTGGCTGACAGCAAACGGCCACCTCCTTCGATCTTCCGTGGCTTCTATGAACATTGGTATGCCCTGGTGGCGCAGTTAATTCCCGTGCTGGAAGCGAGGGATATGGAGGCGAGTCAAGACGCACGACAGCTTCTGGCCCAGATGAAGAAAGATGCCGTTGTCGATGGTGTCTACAGTGCACATATCACCAAGTTCATGGTCGGGAAAAAGCCTGGATCCAGTGGGTGAACTGATGGAGAAGGCAGACTATTTGTCCATGACAAGAACTAATTGTAGTCATCGATGATGACAAGCTTCAGGCGAGACATGTATTTATTTCTAATTAGCGGCTGTCAATAAATGTGTTGCGTTCTCTCTCTTCTCTCCTCAAATATCTGACAATTTTACCTCAGAACAGTATCAACCTCACCGTGTAGTGTCGACGGAAGATTTGCTCAGCGTACAACGAGGGGATTATGGCAGGAATATCTCAGCTAATCTGCTCTTTACCATCGGGAGGGCCGTCACTGGCCCTCTACAATATCCGCTGATTGCTTCTCGCCCGCTGTCTCGTCTGGGTGTGCCTCCTCCGCCTACAGGAACAGCTGACATTACATGGTTTGGGAGGGAATTCAGACGCCTACCGTTCCTCGTGGCATTGATGTCTGCGACTCTTTCAGCCAAGCACATACTGTGGATAAATTTGATGGCCCGTGAGCACCTTACGATGAAATTCGCCACGTTTGCCATCGTCTCAGACTTCCTGTACGAAAGTGTCAATTCGCCGATTTTCACCGCCGTATCCATCAATCCCATGTTCTCAGAATGCCTCTTGTATACGGGCTTCAGTATCTTCATGGCCAGTGGTGCTTTGGGATTGCTAGTAGAGCTTCAACGAATGGCTTTCAAGGCATAGAAGGGGAATCACTCCAGAGTATGCAAGACCGGCTTCTGGGCAATTATACTGCCAATGTCTTGTTTGGCTTCGGAAATGGTCTTGCTACCGGAGGTCCGTTGTACGCGTTGCAACGTCCGGAATGTATATTTCAAACTTTGTCTTCAATGCCATGCCGGCCCTCGAGAAGTATTGCAAGGAGAGATACAAATAACAATGGACACAGTATGCGCGTGAGGTGCCATGGCAGCTGTTACCCGGCATTTATTGAGACTCGTTCCCCTATCCCAAGGAACGAGGGTATCCTGCAATTCGTGTCGGCATACAGGACCTCACGTACTGTGGTAGAGACAGCAGTCTAGGATTGCAGAGACTTCGGCTATAGTCGTAGATTGGCGCAGGAGAAATGAAAATGGTTCCAAGGAAGAATAGGTTCCTGGTGAGCATTGCTCTATCCTTTTTTGATCAACAATCTCGATCGTTCTTTTTGCTGCCTACCTAAGCAACTTGCAAATGATCCGGGCTCTGCCCTGCTCCCCAGCTACTTTACTCACAGTGTCTTCGCTGAGACACGAAACGACGAGAGGCTGAGAGAAACGACGTAGCCGGTGGACTTCAAATCCAATAGAAGGATACTTCATGGCAGAAGGTGGGTGTCGGGCGAAGTTCCGCCCTGCTCGATGGGCCAATTCCGAGGTGGAGACTTTTCCCCAGATCCCCGCAATCACCATGAATGGAATTGTCCCCAGTTTCACCCAAGGTGCTGGATTTGCCTTCAAGTTGTAGTATTGCATCTCAAGTAGCTTGCTTCAATAGCAACCGAGGGTGAATGCATGAGTTCATACCGACTGTCTAATTATCTTCTCGCGTCCTCGGAAGGACAGTTTGGGTGCACGATGATTCTCGACCAGGTTACTGATTGGCTCTCGCAACAAGTGTTATGGTACCTAGTTGGCGCACTTGGATGCCTTTGTGTCGTCCACTTCGCTGCCAATAGGTATGGCACAGGTATCAACCACATCCCAGGACCAGCGCTTGCTTCCTTCACAGATCTGTGGAGGTGCTTTGTGGTCTGGGGCCGTCGACCCGAGCTCAAGCATATCCGGCTGCACGAGAAGTACGGCCCCATGGTTCGGTTGGGCCCTCGAGTGGTGTCAGTGTCTGATCCAGCGGCTATTCCCATCATATATGCTCTGAATTCTGGCTTCGTCAAATCTGGCTTCTATCCGGTCCAGCAAACAATAGCAAAAGGTCGCAGACTGTACACCATGTTCAGCACCACGGATGAAAAATTCCACGCTAAACTCAGAAGAGCGGTATCGAACGCGTATGCGATGAGTACACTGGTTCAATTTGAACCCTTGGTTGATTCCACCACATTGGCATTTCTGGAACAGCTTGAGGAGAGGTTTGCAGACAAAACAGGTCCTCAGGGCATATGTGACTTCTCAAAATGGCTTCAGTTCTATGCATTCGATGTCATTGGTGAGCTCACATATTCCAAGCGGCTTGGGTTCGTGGATCGAGGTGTTGATATTGACGGTATCATCGGGAATCTGGAGTGGCTTCTCAACTACGCCGCCATAGTAGGTCCGTGCCTAAGTCAGAATGCAGAAATGTTAATCGTGGGTAACAGGTTGGACAAATCCCAATCTTGGATCGTGTATTTCTTAAGAACCCATTGCGATTGTTTGCAAGCCAAGTCGGACTCACAAGCTCAAACACCCCGGTGGCGACCTTTGCCAGGGACCGGATCGCCAGACGAGAAGGCGTTGAGCACGCCGAAGAAAAACCAGCAACCATATCTGGCAAAAAGGGAACAAGAAGAGACTTTTTGTCAAGGTTCACTGAAGCCCATCACAAAGATCCTGAGTTCATTACCCGGGAACGAGTTTTGGCGCTGACCGTCGCCAACATGTTTGCTGGTAGCGACACCACCGCGATCAGCTTGCGGGCAATCTTCTACTTCCTGTTGAGAAGCCCAGAAGACATGGACAGCTTGATGAAGGAGCTCTGGGCGCAACGGGAGAATGGGACATTCTCTGACCCCAACGGCTTGGTCAACTGGAATGATGTGAGGGAATTGCCATATCTAAGTGCTGTGATCAAAGAAGCTCTCCGCTGCCACCCTGCTGCCGGACTTACGCTTGAACGAATCGTGCCTCGTCAAGGTGTCACCGTTTGTGGAAAATGGATTCCTGGTGGGACAATCGTCGGATGCAGTGCCTGGACTGTGCACAGAGACAACCTGTTTGGACCGGACTCTGGAAAATTTCGCCCCAGGAGATGGCTCGAAGCATCGCCAGAGCAAAAAAGACAAATGGACAGTTCTCTTTTCACGTTTGGAGCAGGATCCCACACGTGTATTGGCAAGAACATCAGTTTTCTCGAAATGTACAAGCTTGTTCCAGCACTGCTAATGAGATTCGAGGTAAGGGAAACATCCTCCCTCTTTCTGACGGTCCCAGAGTTAACAGCTCTTTGCAGATTGAGTTCGCATATCCCACAAAGCCGTGGAAAGTGCACAACGCATGGTTCGTCAAGCAGTCCGAGTTCAAGGTGTGCCTCCGACGACGGAGAAAGGGGCAGAATCCCATCTAAGAGTCAGGGAAGTTGCCGGAATATAGCTGTTGTCGCTCTGGCAAATGATGCTCTGTGTTTTGGCTGGTTGGCCGTTCCCATTCGAGGACGGCCGCGCTAGGCATCCAGCCGGCGGTTGGAATCTTGCTAGAAAGCGATTGGCTGGAGTGGGACAAGCCGGGGCTCTTGTATGGTGTGTTTTCGATCTCATTGGGCCATCGGCACAGACTTTCCTTGACAGCAAGCCGAGGAAGAGTGTGCCGCGGTCGGAGTATCAAGTCAGAACTTCGGCGAAAAGTGCTGGAACAAAGCGGCGGGCGGTGACAGTAGTGTTGTTATTATCAACACCTTGGATTCTTGATTTGGTTCAACACGATTTGACTCGTCTGAAAAGATAAGAGCTGCGACAAAAGCATTTGTATAGGCTTGCGCACCCAGTCAACTCAATCCAGCGCAAGTTCCGCGCGGAGAGCAGCCTGAGCTCCTTCTGACGTAAACTCGACCCCTCCTTAGTCTCCAAATCCTTTATCCATCTTCAAACTCATCGTATTTCCCCCCCACAACAAACTCCCATCAACCTCAATGACAGGTCGACACAGACTCGCTGCTCTCTCCAAACAGCTCTCATCCGCCTCCCAGTACCTCTTCGGCTCCTCCAAAAGAAACATCGCCAATATGTCGCACACACAGTCCGCAGCATGCTGCAACACTCCGGCTGTGGTCGGCCATGGCTACAAAGAGAAGGGAAACTATATCACCGTCAATGGGATGAAGACATACGCGACTGGACCTTCGTCTGCCACTCAGGGGGTTGTGATTGTCTTCGACATTTTCGGGTTCTTTCCTCAGACATTGCAGGGTGCCGACCTGATCGCTTACGCCGATAAGGATCATCAATATCAGGTCTACATGCCAGATTTCTTTGACGGCGAACCCGCCGACATTTCCTGGTACCCACCAGACACAGAAGAGAAGGGCAAGAAACTGGGCGAGTTTTTCCAGACCGCTGCTGCCCCTCCCAAGACAGTCGCGCGGCTCAACAAAGTGATGGAGGAGTTGCAGGCGAAGAACCCTGGTGTCAAAAGTTGGGGCGTTCTTGGATACTGCTGGGGCGGCAAGGTCAGTAGTACCGTCTTTCTAACTGTCTGCCTCTTATTGCACTGTTACTAACAAACCACCAGATCGTCAACCTCGTATCTGGATCTAATACAGTTTTCAAGGCCGCTGTAGCTTGCCATCCGGCCATGGTTGACCCGAACGACGCACCGAACGTCACTATTCCCATGCTTATGATTCCGTCCAAGGACGAAGATCAAGAAGCCGTGGACAAATACGAGGCCAATCTCAAGGTACCCCACCAGGTGGAATGGTTCAAGGATCATATTCACGGGTTCATGGCCGCGAGAAGTGACCTCTCGGATGAGGATGTGAAGGCAGCCTACGCAAAGGCTTACCGGATCGTGTTGGATTTCCTTCACAAACATCTTTGAAGTGTGAGATAATCAAGTGGTATTGTACGTAGATAGATTGCGAAGCAAAATAACGCAGACAAATAGCAAACCTTTGGTGTGAAAAATACTATTCATATTTGGTGGGAATCACTAGACATTGTGTCCGATACCCCCGAACCCCCTCCCCCCAGGCAACATGGTTGTCCGCGAAGCGATCTCGTAGCGCACAATACATCCCTGACCTGAGCGACACTATGTAAAGAATGATTATAGAAGGGATTTCGTTTCTAGACACATTGAACCTTTCAAACTTGCTCAAGCACGCTATTCAGCAATGTAGGTACAGTTCAATCAGAATGTGGATGAACCTACGGCGCCACGGTGCCGACCTTACAGCGTCTGGCAACTAGCCTGACATGAATGTGATTGCCATGTCTCTCTCGCCAAAAAACGATTGGAGCCTTTGAGCTGCTCGGGTAACATTTCCGGAAGTCTCCGATTTCATTCCTACTCCTCGTTCAGCGCCGGCAGAGTTTGCCGAGACTCTGATAATGAACCACGCCCACGATTCAAAGTGAAAGAAGGGTTCCATGCCCACTGCCTCTTTCGAAAGCTAACGTTGTTGGTTGCGCCACACAAGCAGTTCGCAAGTAACGAAGAGAGATTCCGACTCCTGCAGCTGACTTTTCCCCCTTCTTCAGAGTGGGCTGGGAGCATGATGGCTCTCCACTTCGGAACGTAGGTGCATGATTTTTGTTTTCAAAAGCCACGTTACTATGCCATAACCCGGCTACAGGCATCAAAGAGAGTGTCCTTGCTTCATCAATGTTAGTGGCCATGAGGTACTCCCTCTCCAAAGATCCAAACTTGAGCTCTGTGGAAACGTTAAACATGGATCGTCCAATCATCTTCTGGATGCACTCAACGCTCGCGGGCTGGTGGTTGAGCCCTCCACAAAAAGAAGGCAACAATGATGGTGATTTTCAATGC